CACTGCCTTCTAGCACTTTTAAAATAATGAAGAGTGCTCAGTCATGTGCTCAGTTTGTCAGACAATGCAGGGCTTAATTATATAGGTGCTAGAGTTTGATATGGCCAATTGATTGATCAGATTGGGCCTCTTCAGTCCAAGTAAGGACCAAAGAGGAGTTTTGCCTGTCACATGACTACTTATACACCCAGGTTATGGACTGCTCAGCCACCGGTTTTTCACCCTCAGGTATTATGGGTTGCCACCCATAGCAAACAGGTGGCTTCATTTTCTGTGTGTGTGGGGGGGGGCTTAGCACTTTGCAGAGGTGCAGTTGGCATATTCTACAGCCTCACTCAACTGGGCAGATAACACAAAGGTGAATATTGATGTTATCTCTCCATAGCTTGGAAAGTGTAATGAAAACAATTGAATAAAATGTTTAGTTCAACATTAAGAAAAGATCACAGAGTACCTCTCTGAAGAAGACCAAAAGATACAACAGCTGAAACATAGTAACCAAAATATGCATGCTGGTCCAAATAAAGCATATAATAATCCACCATTTTACTACTACAGACTAATTATCAGATAATAAATCAGTAAAAGATAACAAAGCAAAGTAATTAGTTGATACAGACATAAAGAGTAGAGAATAAAGGGTTGTGTTGGTGGATACAAGAACACATTGCTGTCAGCAGTAGTATTTTTATGTATCACTGAATTTTAAATGTATTGGAAGGTAGTGTGTTAGGATTGGACAAGAGAAAGGGTAAGAATAGAGACACAGTTTTAATCCTTTGAGCCCTGCATTCCTGAACAATTTTAACCCTTCTGCCTAAGCTCCAAGTCAAAATTCACAAATAATTGGTATGTGATGTTTCACAGTAGATATAAAAATAGTTACAAAAAAGATAAGCATTATACTTAGCAGGGAGAGAGGATGATTGCATGCCTTCGCTTTATTGCCAGGATTTTTTCTTTGTCTGCCAGTCTACCCAGCAAATGTTGCCTCTCTTGATGCACAAAAAGTGTCTACCCACTGTTCAACCGGTGGCTGGGCATTAAGTCATTTTTCTCCACCACTGGTAAAGCAGTGGTCATGGCTCAAAGAGTTAAAAGTCAGACCCATGTCCAAATTTTGTCAGTCAAATGCAGTTTTCTTTCAAGATAACATAAATTGAATCAATTGTTTGTTTAAAATTTAGAAACAATAGATCTATCTATTGTATTATTTGTAATTACATATTAGTAATTTTTTTTTTTTAAGCACATTTTTTTTTAATTACATCTACAGATCTACACAATTGAGACCTTAATAAAGAAAAATGGGTTTGAATTACATTTTTCTTTAAGTTCTCTCAAATGTGAGGCAGGTAAGCACTTAAAAAGCAGGGCATCTATTTAAACATGGGTATCCACAAAATAACATTAAAGTAGTAGTAGTTATAATATATTATATTGAAAATGTGAAGATTAATGGAACACTTCTCTGCACAATTCTAGCTGAGGTTTACTTTATGCTTGTTATAAAGGTAGAAGGTAGTTATATCAATAAGTCTGTAGCCTAATAATGAAAAAAAACTCATTTTACTCAAATATTTTTCAACATAATCTCCTTCCGTATCAGTGAATAACATAAAACTTCAGCTGTCAAGTTTCAGATATCTGCTCTTACAAATGACAAAAAAAAAACAAAACAAACAAACCTGAAAACATGCAAATAAATAGAATTATGAGAAATTTAAAACTAATGTTTGTTTAGCATTATGATAACGAGTTTGCGAGAATGGATGACAGAAGAAAGACAAACAGGAATAATGAAGGGCAAATAAAACTAAAAGAAATTAATTAGAAAAGCAATAAAAAAGCAAGTTGTGGGTTATGCAAAAAAGACCATCATCCAGGAATTGTAACCGTTTATCTTTCTGAGAGTGTTAAAAAAATTGTAAATATCTCGGATGTGTTTGTTGAATTCACTTAAATTGGTTTTTATCATTTTATTTTTTTGACTATTCTTCTGTCAAACTTTTGTGATTGCAAATAAATAAAATAAAGATAAATTTAATTATAATTCCTATCCCATTTTCACTTCCTAGTAATTTTGTGCGGAATTAATTTGACGTTTATCTTTTCTTTCCTACAAGTTTGTCTTTTTAAAATAAACGAAATTAACAATGAACACACATAAGAGAAGAAAATCAGAAACAGAACATAATTAATTAGTTTTTGGTTTTGATTTGATTTTTTAAAAACGGATTGAAACGAGTTTTTTAAATCGATGTTTTGTTTCGTTTTTTTATCAATGTTTTTTAGTTTTTTAGTAATTTCCCTTTTCCAATAGACAAACAAAACACTTTTTGTCACTTAATGAACCTAAATAAATGGCAAAAAAAGGATTTCATAACGATTCTCTAAAGAACTGAATTTTTTTAAAAATTTAGATAATAACTTGTACGACTTTTCATTAGAGACTCAAAGAAAAAAAATCAACTTATTAAGACTCAGTAGAAGAACAGGGGGAAAATAACTAAGCAATCACTTCGTTGTCAAAATTTACATAAATTGACGGCATTGGTCCAGCTGGTCTGTGGTCACCTCAATAATTTTGAGGTTAAGGCTGGTGGTTGAAGAAGCTTAAAAATCCGCCAGCATGTAAATTAATTTTCAAAACTGCTAAACTTCGAGATGACAACTCATTTAAAAAAAAAAAAAATGATTAGAAAGTTTACCGAATACAAGAAACACGAAAAAGGTCGGAAGATACAAAAACAGCCGAAATGTGTTTTTTGGGGTTTTTTTATTTTAAAATTAAAACAAGATAAAACAACGATGATAACACTCGGCCGAACAAATCAGTGGCACATCATACCGGATTGTTTGGGAATAGACATTCCAGTATATTAACCAAGATTTATTACAATATACTACTTTTTAATATTTTTTCTAATTAAAGAAATATTTGAATTTAAAACTGGTTTAATTTAATTTTTAATTATGATTAACCAAAATAACACCAATAAAATTACAATAAACAAATGATCAATTTGGTTCAAAGATTTTTCCTATCTTGAACTAAAGAAAATTTGTTAGGGCATGAGACGTGTCATTGTATGTTTTTTTAAGCAGTTTTTAAATCGATTCTGAGTTAAGAGAGTGCCGTAAAAATATTAACATTGTAATTAATTTATTTTGATACGTTTAATTAAACATTATGGTAATTGTTTAATTTTTTATTTTATATACTTAAATTTTGATCGTATTTGTTTTGTTAGAATCTAAGATTTTCAAGATGTAATGTCGACATCGCTTACGTCCCTTTACTCCCAAACTATAACATTGGTATTAATTTAAGCCTTAAGGTCGCTACCACTTTCAAGGCATGAAATGGCTCTATATTTGTAAAGCAGGTAACAAAAGAAGATAGTAACAAAATAATCGCTAACCTATGGTTAAAAATCCCAAAAGACCAGATTGGAAATAACTAAGTTTTAAAAGTAAAACAGTTTTAACACTCTCTCTAGCAATTATTTTTTAATTTGATTTTTAAAAAATTAAATACAAATAAATTAAGTAGTTTAAAATAAGGAGTTAAGTAAGAAGTCTATTGATTTCAGCAAGTCCGCTAAGTTGAACAAGACACATTCTGAGATTGAAAGATAAAACTAAAACAGCATTTTTGATTTCATATTTTTTTAAAGTTTTTGTGTATTTAGAATCGCAGCTGTTTAATTCCAACTTGTTTTTGAGCATTTTAAGTCAGTCCCATTTGTTATTGATCATTTTTTAATTTTAAATCCTAAAACTCACATTTCCCAGTGTCGTTAAAAAAAGAAAACTAAGTAAATTTTTAAAATAATACCTTCAGTACATTTTTGATTTTTCGTTTCAGCTTAAACTTCATATTTTTCTTTCACTTTTTAAGAACCATCGTTCATGATTAAAAAAGGAAAACGTTTGTGCGGATGAATATTGAATTTGGTTTTATGAAAATTTTCAAAATACTATTTTTATTTCCAAATATGGCTAAGAAAAAAAAACTTTTACTTTTAAATATTTTTTTAATCAAATTATCAAACAGTTGTATTGTAGTCTTGCTTTTTAAATCCAAAACACAAGTCAAAGTGTCTTCAACTGATTCGAGGATTTTTTTAATGATCACTATTATTTTGATATTAAAGATTATCCAGTTCAAATTAGAGTAGTTTTTTTTTAGACAGAATTAGACTTACAGAAAATAATTTCTTATTACTATTGTATTGCCACAGATTTTCACAAGACGTCAAAACGTGGAAAAGCACTTCTGATCCCAATGTAGTCATAAAGTGTTTTTGGTGGCAAGTCTATCGTTATGACACTTAGATTAAAAAAAATTAAGTGTAAGAGTAAGACGAATAGGAATTAACTGCTTATTTTGACCTTTTACACGTAGAAAAGCTTCTTTTGTGGTTTCCACTTTTTGATTTTTTAACGTCGTCTTTTACCAGCTTCACCGACCCAATACTTGAGATGACATCGACTGTAGAGATTATTATTGTATTTTTTTTTCTACCGGGTGTAGTAGACATTATTACTCGAGTGGGTGGTCCCGAAACAAAATTCACACTTTCTTGCTCTAACAACCAAAACGTTGAATAATTAACATAACAGATTTGAAAGCAATTATTTTTTAAAAAAAAACAGTAAACTTTACAACTTAAAAGTAAAGCTTCCTTCCACACTCGTTAAAATAACCGTAGACGATTAAAATGAGCAAAGATAAAGTAGGTACCAGTCATTAAGTTTTTCCTTGTATTAGGTAAGGCTGATTAAGATAAAAACTAGGCGAAATTTTCACTTAGATATTTTAAAATGACGTTAAACATTTGCGTGTGTGTGTACAAAACAAAAAAATAACTAAAGAAAATTACATTTAAGATGTTCTTTTTTTATTTCGTGAAGCAATTAATTATCGCTCTAATCAAAACAATCATGTTTGCAATAACAACAAAAAAAGTAAATAAATAAATTAAATTACTTACAGTATGGGAACCAACATTTACAGCACTTTCAATGGTACAAGTCAAAGGTACAGTGTCATCCAGTATTTTAATCGTAGGATTTGTTTCAAACACAGCCATTCTCTAAAAACTATACCATTTAAAACTTTATGAAGAAACTAAACTAAATTATTAATTTACTTTCCAAGAAAAATGTAGGTAGAGATATTTATTTACAAAAGACAGATATCCAGAAGTTTGTTTAATAATGTTTAAATTCTTTAATGAGTAGGGGATGTCTTCTTTTTTCGTAAAACAAATTAGTTTCCTTTTCAGACAATGGTTAACTTAAATTTCTAATTGGTCACCAGAAAAAAAAAAATTATCCAGCCGACTTTTAAAAGGCTGACAAATGTCGATGAAAAATATTGCAGCAGTAATAAAATGAACTTTACGTTATTTTAAATTGTTGATAAGTGGCAGGACAATTTCTATCATAAGTTAGACACGATTCGGTCACTCAATGATAAAAACCGGTGTCCGAATTGTGTAAAAAAGGATCAACTTTTAGTTGTCATCCTGTTGATAGCGAATTCAAAACAATAACACTGACAGGCAGTCAGGCGATGAAATTACTTTTAACCCACGAAGTATAAGTAAGGCCAATATTTCAACAAATATTTAGCTGGATTTAGTAATGATTATTTATTACGTTAATTTTTAGTTTTAATTTTGTTTTATTTTCTCGGTTTGAATTTATTTTAAAAACGATGTCAAAAAAAGAATTAAGATTTGAATTTTAATATAAGATTCAAATCTTCATTACAAAGAACAAAGAAATTAAAAGAAGAGATTTTTTTTAAATTTTAAAAATGAATATAAATTTGAATCTAATTTTAATTATTTTTAGTGTTTTTTTAACATTACTGATGCTTGCCTAGTAGCTAAGATAGTTTCATTTCCTTAGTACGGATGGTTGTTGTTAAAAATACCCAAGTAAAAATTGGGAGCATTTTTCAAATGTTGATTTTCGTGACTTAAGTCATGCTTTTGTTTGGTGGTTTAATAACGATTTCATTTAATTATCAAAACCTCCTTCATTATATATTTGTTAATTACAAAGAAATATGTAAATTCATAAGCTTTGACGATATGAATGATATCTTTGATCAGTTGTCATGTTCCCAGAATGTATCCCATGATCCACTTGTTTATAATCATATATAAAACAAGGTTATCACTTTTTAGTTTAATCAGGACATTCTGACAGGTATTGCATTTCAATTATTATATCTTATTAGAAAATTACTTTACAGTACAGAATTTAATGTAATTTTAAATAACTTTAACATTATTTTTTGTGCTTAACCATCATTTTTTTTAATTATGTTTTATTGTGAAAGTCAACAAGATTTTCTGAAAGGCAATAATACTTAATATATCAATTTCAATGGATTTTTAAAATCAGCATGCTAAAAGGTAATAGATTTTAAGTTTTTTGATAAAATTTTAGATAATATTTTATAATTTTATTATTTGTAATTTTGATAATATTTACTAAAACAAAATTATAACATTTACCTCAAAATTGTCTAACTGAATGCAAATTTTAAAATATAAAATTTTAAAACTTGGACAAATTTATAAGCAATTTAAAATTTTAGATGTAATACTAAATTTTACTGTTTTATGTTGATTAATTTCATCTTAGAATGCAGAAAGACCCAGTGGCAAGACTACCTGAGTATTTGGAGAAAATTTCCTTTGAACTTGATCGTTGCATAGATTTTTGGTTTAAACATTCCCATGATGAAATAAATGGGTAAATTTTTATTTCAATTTTTCAAATGTTATTTCTTCATTTTAATGTCAATTGCTATTATCCTAGCTACTCAGACCATAATTCTATATCTGTTAATAAATAGTTGTGATGAAAAGCAATTAAAATTAAGATGAAAAAACACTCTTGTTTTTATTTTTCTGTTGTCTGTTAGTCCAAGGATATATTTGATGAAATTTGCTTGTTATTATTTTTAATTGACCTAAATTTTTAAAGTTTATTGTTATTCAACTATAAAAATATTAAATTATTTTTAAAAATGTTTTGTTCTAAACAAACTATTTTTCTTTCTATGAAAAAAAGAATTAATCTTATGTAGAACCCAAATTCTACATTATTCCAATACCCAAAATAGTTGGGTCAAATCTGTGCAAAAAGTGGGTCACAGAACACTTTCAACTTCATACACTTTCAAAAAATCTCAAGCCCTCATTGGTTAATAAATATACAAGTAGGCGTGACTATCCACTATTTTGTTCATACAAACATTATACAACTTAACGATATTGACACTCAATCATCAAAACTTATTCACTCACCAAATTCCTTTACGCAGAAGTTAAACAAATTCCTGCTAACAAATCAACATATTTTTTCTACATTCAAGAGCATTGTATTACGCAAAACAATCAAAGGTAGATTACTTTTTTGATCACAAATTGCATTCAACTTTATAAACTTTTACTACTTAAATAAACATTAAATTTTTTCTCTTGCAATTAATTTACAGAATCTTCAATAACAGATTCTAACAAAAATCCTTTCAAATCAGAACTCATTAACAGAATTTAATCTTTCACCAAACTTGAGTTCAACATAAACTAACAAGATTTCACCTAAAAAATCAACTATATTTTTGTAAAATATTTTCTTTACAAAAATACATTGAAAATTACTTGTTATTCAAATATTTGTCTTTTGTCTTCAATCACAAATGTTTCCTGGTATTTCCTCTTGTTTTTGCATTTTGCTTAACATATTCATAGAGTAAAAAAAAAATTGTATGGATTGATTTGGGTCATCAACACCATTCAATAAATGGTAACCACCAAACATTCCACTATACTTAATTATGTTTTATTTTATACTTTGGTAGTTTTGTTTGAGAATTTCATGTTCATTTTAATTTTAATTTATTTTACAAATCATTTTATATTGAACATATTCCTTAATCTGTACAGTTTCAATATCTAAAAGTTTCTAAATGCAGTAGTAACACTATGTGTGATGTTTTTGTAAAGGTATAAAAAAATTTATAATAAAAAAAACATCAAATTATATAAAAATATTTAAGAAGTAAATAAAAAAATAATAATACATTAGTCTAGGTTTGTTTATTAAAGTTTCTTTTGAGAGAGGAGTGTTTAAAAACATTTAATAAAGGAAGAAAGTTATCAACATGTATTTTTTAAATAAAAAAACTGCTATAATGAAGCCAGATGGTTAGTAAAAAATGGTTTGAATAAAATTTGATGTGTAATGTGATGCTCAAATTCATGTTGTAAAAATCCCACCAAAATGAAGCCTGATGGTTTATAAAAAAGCATACATGTATAAAATTTGTTTTACAAAAATTTATAAAAAAAGAGGCTCAAGTCTGATGGTCTCAAAACCTGTCTAAATAAATTTTGCCAACAGCAATACATTTTATGATTTTTTTAACAAATTGGAAACGTAAGTTGTGACCACATAGTATCAAATTTATGATTCAATTCAGAGCTGATTTCTGATTATTTGTGATTTGTGGTCTGAGTTGTCTGACAGCAGAAGTTTTGTTTCATAAGGAAGATATTGGCTGTTTTAGGGATCTGAAAAAAAGAAAACTTAAAGCCACTGCTGAAAACAATGGAAAGAAAGAAGCAAAAAAAAAGAAAATTTTTAACATTAGAGCTGCCATACCAACTAGGCCACAGAACCTTCTGCCTGCAATCAGGCAAATCTAACAATATAGTCTTTTCTCATCTTCCCTGACTGCCTGATACATTGCCATCTTAATTTATATACTCTCATAGTATTATTGTTAATATTATTTTTAAATCTTTTAGTGTTTCTAAATTTCACTTGCTTTTTGTTACAACTGTCCAGCCCTCATTATGTGAATGTTAAGTAATAATATCATTTAAATTTCTTAGATGAAATATTGTCATGTTTTGCCTTGCATTTCTTTAAACTTTCACTTGCTTTTTATTGCATCTCTCGTATTATTATTCTGATGCCATTACAATGAGTGTACATAAATAAGACATTAACATAGCAAATGGTTGGGAAGATAAAGAACTGCTATATAGTGAGATTTGAATGTGGGTGGTAGAAGGCTTTATAGTGCAATTAGTTAAACAGCTGTTAAATTAAGTTGGGCTTCCCAAAGAAAGAAATGAAGTGAAAAAACATTAATAATAATTTGAAACTTTCTCTTATATTTTTACATTTTTAGTAAGGTTTATATCTAACCTTTGTCTCTCTCTGCATTTGTTTTCAGGGGTTTCTTTACCTGTTTGGGAAAAGATGGAAGCATATATGATCATACCAAATATGGATGGCTTCAGGGAAGGCAGGTAAGATTGGGATAGATGCTTGCATCTGCTTACAACATATAAAAGTTTTCACCTACTTTAAGCTGCTGTGAATTTATAATAATAATAATAATGATAATAATAATCAAAATGAACACAGAAAAATTAAACTCGTATGCATACATAAACATGCAGTCATATACAAGTGCACATACATATATATCACCACACACGACATTTAAGGACTTGCTATGATTATTTTTCATTTAAATATTTTTGTTGACTTTTTGAGACATTAAAATGGTTTCCTCATTCTTTGACATTTACAATACCAACAAATCTTTATAATCGAACAGTTCCCTATGAGGGATGGATACACACACAATTTTCTAGAAATTTTATATAAATGTTTATACACACACAAACACATAGGTGCATGTATATACACTATTATATTTATGCAAATCAAAGCTTTCATAATAAAATTGGTAAAGTTTTGATTATATATTTATATACGCAATATATATTAAATGAGTTAATTTATAATAACTTGCATGGCACCAGACTTTATATACAAACAAATTTCATGATATAATTATCACATAAATAGAAATATATCCTGAAAATTTTACCAACATCTATTAGACAATACCAATTATATACTGAATATATATATATCTATATAAATATCTATATCTATATATATATATATATATATATATATATATACATATATATATATATATATATATATATATATATATATATATATATTCGTGAATTATTCATACAAAAACAAATGCAAAGGTTAATGATTTAATTGGCGAGAAATCCATCGTCACAAACAATTCAAATAATATACAAAAAACCCCAAACCTGTTATGAATGAAAAGATCCTTGTTTCTATAAATTTCTGCTGCATTAGTTCTTATTTTTACTACAAGCTTTCGTCTGTTCCTACAGACATCTTCAGGTATGGAATAGATGTTGTTCTTGTTTTTTCTCTCAGTAATAAGAGGACAGGAAAATATATGTATTGTTGTATCCGAAAAATGCTATTGGAAATGAGTTATTGTTTTTGGAGCGTGAAGTAGCAACACTGAGTTTGATTTTAAATTTTACAGTTGTGCGTTCTTGTACAAATATGGTGATAAGCAAATTTTTTTTACTGGTAAATTTTCTGTCAAAGTGGCATGAACTATATTGTTCAATAATTACAGTAATGTCGCACTTATTATCCAAAAGTCGCACTTGGATCAGTTATATTAATTTCGATAAACGTGCAATCAATTTACAAATTCATGAATTATTCTTACAAAAACAAATGCAAAGGTTAATGATTTAATTGGCGAGAAATCCATCATCGCAAACAATTCAAATAATATACAAAACCCCCGAACCTGTTATGAATGAAAAGATCCTTGTTTCTATAAATTTCTGCTGCATTAGTTCTTATTTTTACTACAAGCTTTCGTCTGTTCCTACAGACATCTTCAGGTATGGAATAGATGTTGTTCTTGTTTTTCTCTCAGTAATAAAGGACAACGAAAATATATGTATTGTTGTATCCGAAAATGCTATTGGAATGAGTTATTGTTTTTGGGCGTGCAGTAAATATAAACTGATTGCACGTTTTTCGAAATTAATATAACTGATCCAAGTCTATACGACTTTTGGATAAGTCGCGACGATTACTGTAATTATTGAACAATATAGTTCATGCCATTTGACAGAAAATTTACCAGTAAAAATTCGTTCATCACCATATATGAACATACTATAAAAATTAAAATCAAACTCAGCGTTGCTTTTGCACTCTCCAAAACAGTAACTCATTTTCAATAGCATTTTCAATACAACAATACATATATTTTCGTTGTCCTTATTACTGAGAGAAAAACAAGAACAACATCTATTCTATACCTGAAGATATCTGTAGGAACAGACGAAAGCTTGTAGTCAAAATAAGAACTAATACGGCAGAAATTTATAGAAACAAGGATCATTTCATTATATATTTCGGATACAGAGGTTTTTGTATATTATTTGAATTGTTTATGGCGATGGATGTCTCGCCATTTAAATCATTAACCTTTGCATTAGTTTTGTGTGAATAATTCATGTATTTATAAATTTATTGCATATTTATATAATATATATATATATATATATATATATATATATATATATATATATATATATATATATATATATATATATATATATATATATATATACATACATATATATATTTATATATATATATATATATATATATATATATATATATATATATATATATATATCTACATACATATATCTATATATATATATTTATAAATATAAATGACATACATATATCTACATATATATATATATATATATATATATATATATATATATATATATATATATATATATATATATGCAGTTTTATATATATTATTTATATATTATATATGCATGGTATATATATGGATAGTGCTCAATATCACTGATAGTACATATATATATATATATATGATATAAGTTTGTGACCATGGGTTTGTCTGACATATCATATCCACAGATGAATATATATATCACTCATCAATCCAACACAAATATATATATGTGTGTGTGTGTGTGTAGATATTTGTATATATATATATGTATGTAGATATATTATGAACTGTATAATTATAATAATAGTTGAGTTATATATATATAGTCATTAGATGTGTATTTAAAATATATTCAGTTTAACCTTTATAGCACATTATTAATAAACTTCCCTTTCCACTGCATTCTTTTTCAAGGCCTTCAGTTGCAGTAACCTTATTGTTAATTTATCTAAGGTATTTCTGTTGCCATAGCAGGGTATGACAACACAACTATGAAATTCAAAAAAAAATAAATTCAGGGATCAGTTATCTTTAGTGGCAGGATAAACTTTTATACAGCAAATGAACTCACATCCAGAGTAATAAAGGTTAACAACTGTTAAAAATGAAAATATTTTTGATACACCTAGGATAAAAATAATAATATATGATATTAAGAATAATATATATAAGAAACATCTAATTATATAAATGGTTTGTTGTTTCATAAGCATCATATTAATCTTGAAATCTAAAGGAATACATGAAAATCGCTCACATTATTAAACAAATTCTTTCAGTGAAATATGTTACATACATATTTCGGAAAAAAATTTATACACCTGAACTCTCAGGTGAAATATTTTGTAAAGGATTGTATCAAACAGAAAATCAAGAAATGTGGAAATAATAATATTAATACTAATAATATTACGCTTTGTACTATGGCATCATTTTGTTAGCATGTTACTCTCTCATGCAATGATAATAATAATATAGTTCAGTTCAATTCTCTAATGCAAGACTCTTTGGTAAAGCGAATTGAGTTCTCTCAGTCATGGTGTGTTTATCTAAAAATTAATACGCTTTCACCTTCATCTCTGCCATGCAATTGTCTATACCTCTAATGATTATATATCCATGAAATAAACTCTGGCATAGCGATCTGTCAAAAATTGTTTTGATATGCCTAAAGATACAATAATGAATTGCCCGAATTTTTTGTTTTCGACTAACATAGGTATCTGCGATTACCGCGACCTCGTTAACAGTTTCTACATTTTTCTCATCGATATGCGTTCGAATCTCCTGTGAAACGCATTGTTTAAAAATTCTTCAACAAGAATGAGTTGGCGTAATTTATTATAATCATTATTTATTTTTTTCGCCCTAACCCATCTATCAAACAAAAAGATCTGCTTTTCTCTAGCGAACTCAACGTATGTCTGTTGTTCGAATTTTTGTATTTCCTATATTTTATATATATATATATATACTATATATGTATGCATTTAATATATATTTTTATATTTTTCATAATCTGTATATATATATATACTATATATATATATATATACACAGCTCTATATATACCAAAACATCTATATAACATTCATTCTATTATATACATATTTCTTTGACACCAATGCACACATATTTTTAAAAAATTATTTTCATTATACAATATATATGCCTTCTAGAGAACAATATATAATAACTGCTCTGATGTCACAATTCTTATATATTTTTATGATTGACATCTTTATTGGTTCATATATATATATATATACATTTTTTTTTAGTGATTTTCGATGAATGGCATAAATAATAAAATACATCCGGAGCAGACGATATATATATATATATATTTTTTAAAAACTAGGTTTATTGGGTGAACAAAATATCGATGATTTTTCCGCACATTCAATCAAAATTCAGATTTAATTATGTTTGAATAAAAACATTTTATTTTTATTATTCCATGTAATAAATTATTTCAATCAAAATATCCGTTTCATATATCTCTTTATATACAATATATGACTGGACATTTGTTCAATTTTTACTTTAGTATTCACTATTCATATATATATATATAATATATATATATATATTACACATGTGTATAAAAAGTTATACCTGTTATATATTTTTCATTTATTTGTTTAAATGTTATTTTTAATGGATACTCATATTTGAGTAGATGTTCTGTTTTTATGCATTTATTAAACAGTATATTTATTTATTTCCATCTACCGGCTTGAATATTTGAGAAAATCTTGTTAGAAAAATATATGCCCTCCTTATGTCTTTCTGAGAAGTCAATGATCCTAAAATCTGTTAAAGAAAAGAAGTCAGTTAATGAACACCTGCTTACACAGAAGTAAATTTCTACTCAAGGACGTTGACCCAGATAAATATAGCTTCGACAGTCTTGGATACCACAGATACTAGTTTTGATGTTATTGCTATTATTATTATTATTATTTCTACTATTTTCACTATATAACCAGTATTACTATTATTATTTTTTTATTCTTATTTTATTTTTGATCCTACTATTATCAATATTATCTTTATTTTTATTATTATTTTTTTATCTTTATATTATTATTAATTTTAATTAAATTTTTAATAATTTTTATTATTAATTTATCATTTTTTGTAAGCAAGAAAAAG